TTTTTTTTTTTTTTTTTTTTTTTGGTTGGTTTTAATGATTCTTCCTCCTACTGAGAATTCACTTGTTTATAAATGCAGGAGTAGGCATTTTTCCCAAACTCTCTTTCTGTGTTCTGCTCTCACAGTAATCTAAAGAAGGGGGAACTGGAATCAGCAGGCAGTCATTCTAGTTAAGAACTTGACTACTTTTGGGAGTGGTTTGCTGGATGGCTCTGAGTCTAGAATAGCACCTAATTAAGACCTGCGGGAGAGTCCTCTTCCCAAATAGACTTCCAAAATATATAGTTCTTTCTTATTACCAAACAAGTAAATTATATAAAATGTGGAAGGCACAAAGAAGAGAATAAAAAATCACCTGCAAGTTCTCCCTCCATTGATAACAGTTGGTACTGGTTTTGTTTATATCCTTCTAGTCTTTTTTCTGTTCAAACATAGTGAGCGTAATTGGAATCACATACACTGTTTAGAATTCATCTTTTATTCAGTGAACATTACATCCATAAGTACTCTACAGTGTCATTTCTAATGACCGCATAATGTGTATGTATATGTATTTTCTGTGAATATATCATGCTTTATCTTACCTCTCTCCTCCTGTTGAAATGAAGAAGTGTCATTTACAATTTTTAAATCAATTTTAGGCAGGGAAGTGATAAATATATTTTGGTTTAAATCTTGGTGTACATTCTTGGTTACTTCAAGTTCCCCAAAGTATAATTTCTACATTGAAGCAGAGAGAGTCTAAGGGAAAGACCAGTAATGTCTCAAGAACAATTTTGTCTTCAAAAGCGGGATAAAAAACAGATTTTTTAAATTAATGAAATTAATAATTTCTACCTAAATAAATAGATAATGACAGTCAATCTGAAGTTCTGTGAAATTACTGAGATCTTTTATTCTTGTGGGGTTTCTTAACCACAAAATCTGTTAGGATTAATGTTTTTTCTTTACCAATTGGTATATAACTACCTAAGACTTTATGTAATCATTTGAAATGCTACAAATGTATTGCCTGTCAACTCCAATAAAAAAGAAGGCAGTTAATTAAAGGGATATCTTGCTGTTAAATAAACTTGCAGTCAATTGCTTGTAAGTAACAGTTAGTTTGATGTGTAGTCAAAGGGCAAGAAAATCAGTGATCAGGAAGGACTGACTTTATAAAATAGCAAAAAGAGAAGTCATTATTGGGGTTGAGATGACTGGCCTGTCAACAGGCATGATGTTTCTTCCCTTGTTTGTTTATTATAAATGGAATCTAATGATATCCTTGTTAAGAACATATTCATATAATGAGCTGAAGGTGAAAGACATAAGGCATTCAAGTCTCCTGTCAGTTTGAGATCTTTTCAGCTTAGGATAACTGAGTCCTTATCCTCATGCAACCCTAGAAGGACACGACTGTCTCCCAAGATCAGGCGCGGCTTCAAGGTTATGTAATGTGTGCATAACGTGTGCGCATGCACACACACTCCATATTGTTACACTCTGCAAACGGGAAACGGCCATCTTTGATCCAGTGGAAAGGCTCCAGCAGCACAGCAGCCCCTGAGAACAGCTGTTCCAAATCCATCCAGCCCACTAGCTCCTCCTACTAGGGGTGCCCTAATGCTCTCTGCACCTTTGTTCAACAATTCCTTGGTAATCTAGGGTGGAACACACTTTCTCTGGACAGTGAGCTTGTAGTCAGAAGCACTTGTCATGCTCAACTCCTTCAGAAAGAGAATCTATTCAAAGATACCACACTAATTTGATACTCCTAAGTGTTGAAATATTTGTGAAACAAGGAATGTATTTATAGTGGAGACCTTTCTCATCTCAAAATCGCATGGATATGAGAGACCAGAGCTATTAGAAGGATGATTGACTTTGTGTTGAAGTTCCATTGAAGGTCACTGGACTTTGGAGTCTCTCTCGGGAGCCAAGACACTTCACATTTTGCCAGTAACCATATTAAAATGTGTGTACCTGGCAAGAGTGAGCGAGTCTCATTTGCCGGTTTTCATTCTTTGTATTGGCTCTTCACTATTTCATCAACAAGAATTTTTTTTAAGTGCCAATTTTGTGCCCAACTGGGCCGTATGGGATGCAAGAGAAGGCATAAGTTATGGTCATTCCCCTCATGGGCCTTCCAATAAAGCAAAGTAAATATGTAATCCACTTACAGCCGGTCAATAGCAATATTTTTATTTGTAATGATCCCACATTTCAATTGAAGAAAGTATTTATTATTCTGGGAAGAAAAACATCGGCTGAATTAATGACAGATTCTGAATGGGCGCTGGGCTATATTCAGAATGCAAGTATTTTGCAGTTAGGTTAGGTTGTTGAGGTTTGCCTTCTTTCCTGAGCTCTTATGAATTAGCAAATTCGAAACCGGCTGTTTTCAAATTACATACAATTGGTGCCTACCCTGAGTGTCTGTTTCTCTCCGCCAAGTTTCAACTTGTAACCTATTTTAAAAGTTGGTCCTAAACCTCCAAAACCAATGGAATGATAGCAGGCACTACCTTAAATCATAATATTTTCACAAGAACACGTTCAAACTTGAAATAATGACTAGGTTGGAGAAAGAGGGAGGTGAGAAGGGAGGAGGAGACAAGTTTGTGTTTTCTTATTTAAAAAAAAACAAAAAGTTGTTTGAATTAATAAGTTGCTCAGATTTCTGCTGCTTTTTTTCCTAGATAGCCACAGAGAGAAAGCTTTGTTCCTAACAAAAGGACACCTCTGCATCAGCTTAAGATATTTGTAGCATGGCACCTGGTGACAGGGTTGGAGTTTTAAAAAAAAAAATCTCCCATGTGAACATTTTGCAATTCTCTTTACTCTCCTTCCTTTCGTATTGAGCACATAGCTTGATTCCTATCATCCGAGACAATGGCTTGGCAAACCTTTTCTGTAAAGGGCCAGAGAGAACATATTAGCTTTTGTGACCGCGCAGGTTTCTGCCATACGTTCTTTCTTGATTTCTTTTCTCTTTTTCTGTTTTTTTAAACAACACCTTAAAAATGCAGAGACTAACCTTACGGGCTATACAAAACGTGATCGCCGGGTGGATTTGGCCTGCAGCTCTAGTTGGCGGGCTCACGCCCTAGAGAAATATGGGGGGCCATCCTGGCTGAGCCACCACTGGGTATGCCAACATGATTTCCCTTTCTACTGCTTGCTACGTTCTCTGCCGGTCACTGGCTGTCTCAGGAGCTGGTCCCTGGAGCCTGGCTCTCCTGTGTGATGTAATGGTGTGAAATGGTGTTTCCAGTGAAGGGCCTGCGGGGGTAAATGCTGTCTCTAATTAACCTGTTCATTTAGTGCCATTATCCTTTATCTCAAACGCAGTTCTGCTGGGGGAGGATAAGGAAAATGCTTAATTAGACTAACTGTTTCACACTGTCTGTGTTTGCATGATGAACTTTAAAAAGCCTGGGAGATGAAGCTGTCAGTCACTAAGTGTCTTTGGGAGCCTCTTGATTTTTAATATGTAATAATCATGCGCTGTTATTGAGTGTTGTTGAGTGAAACTTCAGGTGACGGTCTTTGTCCACGATTCTGACCCAAGACATCTGGCTAATGTCCACCAACTGGATAATGTCATTGGCAAGTTGTTGTGTCAGGGATGCTTATTTATTTATTTGCTCACCGCCCTAGTTGGAGTACTTTGGATGGACACTTGTTGTTTGTTTTCTGTTTTCCTCATTAGGCATCAAGTACCTCGAGTACAGGGAGTGTGCCTCGTACTTCTCTGAAGCCCGACGTCTGTTGGAATACCATTGCAGTATTTGTTGTTGCTGGGGCAAAAAAATAAAGAACAAAAATTACCATTTTAATGCATGTGATATAAAATATGCCACTTTAGCAAGTGTTGTGTACAGTTGAGTGGCATTAAGGACATTGTGCGGCCATCGTCCATCTCCAGAACATTTTTCATTTTCCCAAACTGAAACTCCCATTTCCATTAAATGATGACTCCCCATTCCTTCCTCCCCAGTCCCTGGCAACCACCATTTCTACTTTTTTCCTCTATGAATTTGACTGCTCTGTGTATCTCATGTGAGTGGAATCATATAGTATTTGTCTTTTTGTGACTGGCTCTTTTCACTTAGCATAATGACCTTAAGGTTCCTCTGTGTTTAGCAGGTATCAGAATTTCCCTCCTTTTTAAGGCCAAGTCATATTCCATTCTGTGTGTGCTACATTTTGTGTATCCATTCATCCTCCAGGGGACCCTGGGGCTGCCTCCTCCTAGCGGGGATTGTGAATAATGCCACCCCACACAGATCCGAGTCCTGCTTTCAGTTCTTCTGTGTTTATACCCAGACGTGGCCATCACAGTATTTTTGAGACTATTAAAGTGACAACTTTCTTTTAAGCTCTCGATACTTTAAATACTTTTACCAGACTTTTCTGTCATGTATTATAAAAACATTTTATAATAAAGAAATCTGTCACTAGCCCTGATGAACACAAAAGATCATTAAGCACAGACATTTATTCATCCTGTGTAGCAGGCACTGGGCTCGGCTCTTGGTGTGGATGAATTCACTGAGGTCCCCAGTATGTTATCTGCATGTTCAGAAGAGGAAACGAGGCTTAGAGGGGTTAAGAAATTCGACTGAGGTCGCACAGCTAGTACGAGACAGACAGGGCTCTGCTTGAGAACCCAAACTCGTGGACACCATGAATCCATTCAGGAGAGTGGATTACACTTCCATGCCTCATCATAATCTCAGCATGGTTGGCGAGAGGCTTATTTTCCACAGCTTAATGTCACTTTTGAATTTTAAAATCAAATTATATAAAATTACATGTAAAATTCTTTGAAAGCCCTAAAGTGCTATACAAATGTAAAGTATCAAGATTAAACCTTTGGAGGACAAATGTTACAAGGTACAATAAATATATGGAGCAAAAACCGTCTAGATTTTAAACTGCGATCTAAGCATTATGCAAACTAACGAGGGCCCACCTTTGTGATTTTGTTAGAACGTTGTTTCGTGTACCATTTTATTCATATCACTTCCAATCTTGGTAGGACTGGCACTGCCTTTTCTATGGCTGTTATGCATTTCATGACTTTTTTACCCTAAGATTCTGAGAATAAGCCAGATTTCCCACATAACATTTGTTATCCTTGTAGTAACCCTGGACTAGGAGACATGCCTTAAACCATCTTTGCAATTGTGCAGCTAGGTCTTGGATGCCAGATAGCTAACAAACTCTCATATGGAAGAGCTGTGAGAATTAATTTGCACTTGCAGAGGCCAGAAGTGAGGCCACTCCATGTGCATAGGTTCTAGAGGGGCAGAGTTGAATTCAGAATAAAATGCACAGGGGGCACCTGGGTGGCTCAGTCAGTTAAGTGTCCGACTCCAGTTCAGGTCACACTCTCACATTTTATGGGTTCGAGCCCCGCGCCCGGCTCTGTGCTGACAGCTCGAATAAAATGCACAGCTATACAGAGCCTTGGAAAGTAGTAAATGCCATCAGTGGGGGTATCCACACTCAGGCCTGAAAATCCTTTCACAGCAATGAGGTAGAGAGGATTCCTACACTGTGCACTTAATTTCTTCACCTTCAGTCTTGGTGTATCATTATGTTTACTTCACATGGCCTGAGACCTTCATTGAAACTGTTAGGTCTTGTATGGTATTGTTTTCCTCAACACAAGACAAGAGCTAAGAGGTTTTGCCCAGTTTATCTGTTGTACCATGGGCAAATAACTGTGCTGTGTTAGAGTGGCTTGTAAGTTAAACATATTTGGACTAGATCATGGTTGAAGAGATAATGGGCTCAGCTTCTGAGATTTCTGATTCTCCAGAGTCTAGACAGACTGTGTTCGAAACAGGACTGACACTGATCTCAGAGTGAAGTGGTTCGATAGATTTACATTGACTGTTTGATTTAGTGACTTCTCCTGTGCGGTCTTATTGGAACTGTTTAGCCTCCAGCACTAGAAAACTTACACTGCTTCAGTGTAGCATTGGACTCAAGCAAGGGCTTGGGTATTTGGCACAAATGACATTCTCTCCTCTTTTTCTGATTAATGTGCCTCCAGGATCAACCCAAGTTAATGCAAATAGTGGAATATTTGCTCATATAGAGACCCAAAGTACTTAAAATTCACTGCAGGTAGAATTGTTTGTTTAACCATCAGGAGGACAGACTTCAGTAATTTCAGTTGCTTGTGTTGGTTCTGATTTTGTTTTGGTAGAGACTGAGTGTTGGAGACTTTGCCTGGAAGCCAGCCCCTAGCATTGACGTCTGACACTAACCACAAAAGCAGTCCCCTTTCCGCTGGCAAAGCCAGGCCCACATCCATGGTTGTGATCTCAGGGGAGGGCTCTAGTCCTCAGCTTGGGTTTATGACTGGGAAGCCTGCCTCTTGTAAGGTGGGGAAAAGCAGAGTCAAAGTGACCCCACAGCATTTGAGCTTGGGGGAGCTGTCAACATCCAGAGGACTCATCAAGGTCAGAGATGTGGTCCCGCCTGAACTGGCATCCGCGGACTTTGTCAGGGCCAGGTGTCAGAAATGGGTAAATATCAAATTGTATCTGATTAAAAACAGGAGGAAGCAGAGCTCCCCTTACCCTGCTCTAAGGAGCCAAAGTCAGCTGAATGGTGTTTGGGTCCAGATGATTCAAAAACCACAGTCTCCATGACCCAACTGAAGAAATATTCAAAACTAGTCTGAAATATAACAGCCTGTTTTTAAAAATATGCTATCAAACACATTTATCTTTGGCAAAAAATGAATTAAGTATTCTCTCATAATAACCAAATATTCACTAATATAAAAGAATATAGGATAAATACCTTTTACGGTGAGACTGTCAGATTCACGAAATCCCTTTTAAGTAAAAAAAATCTGGCAGTGATCCTACATAAATAATGTTTGATCTGGTCCAAGGATCTTACTTGAATTTATGGCCTATTACATGGGGGAAAATACTGAAAGGAAAAGAAGAAATAACATTAAGAAAAACATCAGAATTCTATATCCAAAAATGACTGATTATATAACTATTTTACCAATAAGATAGTGGTAAGATAGAGAAGAAGAATAAGGACAACTCACGTGGGTTTTCAGTAACGCAGTCATGAAGGAATCAAAATCCAGTCAACATGCAAACGTCCTACATGTTGGCAGGAAGATAGGTTACGCGTGCATACATTTATCAAAACTCAACAAACTGTATACTTGAGATCAGTGCCGTTTACTATTGCAGATTATACTTCAGTACAAAAAAGGACAAAGTCAAATCAGCTGATTTATTGAGCAGCAATTCCTGAGAAAGTTATAGCATTAAGCAATTTAGGGAGAGAAATTTCTTAGCCTTCAGGAAAGTTACATATTCTTTGTTTTTTTAAGGTTTATTTATTTTGAGAGAGAGAGAGAGAGAGCAAGCCTGAGTGCATTTGCATGGGGGAAGGGGCAGAGAGAGGGGGCAGAAAGAATCCCAAGTAGACTCTGGACTGTCAGCCCAAAGCCTGACGTGGGGCTCAAACCGTGAGATCTCACGAAACTGTGAGATCATGACCTGAGCCTAAATCAAGAGTTGGATGCTCAATCAACTGAGCCACCCAGGGGCCCCTAAACTTGCATATTCCTGCTTAATCAGACACAAATTGGGTTTTTAAATTTTTTTTAATGTTTACTTATTTTTGAGAGAAAGCGTGAATGCATGAGGGGCAGAGAAAGACAGAGACAGAATCTGAAGCAAGCTCCGGGCTCCGAGATGTCAGCACAGAGCCCGACGCGGGGGTCACACTCACCAGCCGTGAGATCGTGACCTGAGCCGAAGTCAGACACTTACCCGACTGAGCCGCCCAGGTGCCTCCACAAATTCTTAATAATAAGAATTAAATAGGGGCGCCTAAGCGGCTCAGTCGGGTTAACGTCCGACTTCGGCTCAGGTCATGATCTCACGGCTGGTGAGTGCGAGCCTTGCGTCGGACTCTGTGCTCAGATCTCGGAGCCTGGAACGTGCTTCGGATTCTGTGTCTCCCTCTCTATCTCTGTCACCTCCATTCACTCACTCTCTCTCTCTCTCTCTCTCTCTCTCTCTCTCTCTCTCTCAAAAATAAATAAACATTTTTAAAAAATTTTAAAAATCAACAGTGAATGATGCATTGAATTCTGGATCTCATGGAGCCTTCAAGATTAGCATCACTCCTTTTCTAAATATAAAAAAGCTGAAACCCCAAACATTTTAGAAAATTGTCCAAAGAAAATTTCACCAAGTGGCAAGACGTTAATCTTAAAGCTTCTTCTTCTTTCCCCTTTGTCCTGTCAACTTCCTCCTCCTCCCACCTGTTAACTGACCCCAAGGGTCTGTTTTCAGTTCTCTTTGGCTTTCTCTTTATGTTGTACTCTCCTTGACCGATTCATTTCAATGTTAGTAGTTCTTCATTCCATCGGTAAATACCTTTGAGTTCTTACCACATGCCCAGCAATGTTTTGTGAGTGAGCAGTATGGCACTGAACCACAGGCTAAGGCTTTCGCTCATAGAGCATATTTTCTACTCATATCCGTGCACATGGAGCCCTGAGAGTGATTTCCCAGACCAGTGTTTTCACCCAATCCAGACTCCATTGCCCCATAGCTTCCCTTGTGAATCACAGCAGTACCTTAAGCTCCACGTAGCTATAATCTCATCTTTGACTCTTCTTGCTGAACATCTAGGTCAACCAATTTTAATTCCCTAAACTCTAACACGTTGTTTTTTTTCTTTTATCTGTTCAGAATCTCCTTGTTTCCTCACTTCTTCCTTGGAATGTTCCAGTAGCTTTCTAATTCATTTGTCTGTCTCCCGTTGTCCTCAGCTCTGATCATGTACATCACTGCTTGATTTTTTTTCTCCTAAAACATGTCTCCTATATCAACGGTTTCTCAAATACACACACACTCACTTACATGCTCTTTTCTTTGGGTCTTGTTTGCCTTACAAATTAAATGGAAACTCCTCTATCTGGCAGTAAAGACTATTATAAAAGTCTTTAGACTTTCTGTCAGTAAAGACTATTATAAAAGGCTCCCACCTCCCTCAAATCTTATTACGTCTCCACAAATAGGTACCTGCTCGAACGGTAGCCACGGTGCATTCTTGGCCACTGCCTTTAACATGTCCCCCATTTTCTGTCCTTCTGTGGTTGCTCTCTCTGTTTGTCACCTGGATGCACTGTGCACTACCATCCCCACCCAGAACTCATCAGCCTCCGTTCCGCTCACACCACCTTTTCTAAGGGACCTTTCTCTGTCTGAACACCACGATTCTTCCCTCCTCTGGAAACACTAATGTCTCGCTGCACTGCATTATGGTTGTTCTCGTACATTTTTATTAAAATAACCTGACGTATTTTCATAAAATGACACATCCTTATTTGAAAAAAATTAAAATGTACAGAAGAGTAATGAAAGTAAAAACCACCTGAAATCTCTTCACCCGAAGATACCAATTCTCAAGCATCCCTCCAGACCTGTGTGTGTGTGTGTGTGTGTGAGCATACACAAACATTTATGAAGTCTATACATTTGTCCCTAAATGAGATCCAATTCTACCTGCTTTTTTTCCTGTTGATACATTCTGGTGCTTTTGAAACGCTCCTCACTAGAGAACCAAACTATAATTTTTAGCGGCTGCACGATCCTTCATCGTTCGGCTTAACCGGAATCTAACCGCTGCTTGTTTTGTCTGGGAGCTGGCCTTCCTCCCTCCATCAGCAGGTGCAAGGAGGTTGTTCTCCCGTGTGCTAGCTCATGTGCTCAGCACAGCCATATAAAATACAAGTGAGCAGTCTGTCGTGGGCCTCGACGAGAACTGTTGTGACCATCCACTCCGTGCGGTTCAGGGACAAAACTGTTTGGAGATCTTGAAAGAGGTTAGAGAGGACTGACCTAAAATCCCGAGTAAGATTGTAGCTTTTGTAAAAAACGTTGTGTTAACTGCTTTGAACAGTGCTGTCCTTCCACCGCCCACGAGAAAGCCATTCATTGTTCCTCATTACATAATCTGCAGAGAGCTTCCCCACCCAGAGAGGAGCATGTCCCACTCCCCTCTTCCCAGCAGCTGAAAGCGGAGTCTGTCCTGTGCCTCCGAGGGTTTCTTCACAGCGCAGGCCTCATGCTATCCCTAATTAGCCGGAGCACTCCCAGCCGGAAGCCCCAGTGCCCGGCCTTGACAAAAGTCTGCTTTTTCCAGGGAAAAGGCAAAGCCCGCCTCTCTGTCTAGGGGCACCTCCGGGAGACCAGCAGAAGCAGGGTGGTGGGGAGCTCTCCCATCAGTCAGTGTGGGGAGCCTGCTGCATTCTCTAGTGACCTGCGGTGTGCTGCCTCCCCACTGCAAAGAGGGGTCCATCAGACTATGCCTTTGTCCTCCACCGGCACACCTAAGCACCACGAGACAGGCCCCTTCTGCGTGATCCTAAGCGTTCAGTCCCGTCCCTTCCCCGTTTTGGGCTTCGGCGACCGATCTGCCTGCCATCCCACAGCCAACCTCCAGCCACTTGTGTTAATGATGTATGCGATTAGCAGCCTATGGTAGTTCATTAGAGAAAGAAAAAAAGGAAAGAAAGAAAAACCGTGAGATCGTTTGCCTGTCACTGTGAAGTGAAGCTTGACGGGAACATCCTCACTGTCCCTCCCCATCGCCCCTCCTGCCGTGTGTCTGTGATCTTCTGTGCGCATGCGCTCACAGTTGCCTGTGTTCCGTGGCTCTGCCATTTGCTCAGTGGGGGGACATTTCCTTAGCCGAGCAATGCACTGCTCTGCCTGAGGGATTGAGAACATATTGCTTGGCAGGTGGGCCTGCTCAGACGCACTGACTGTTGTTTCAGCACTGACAGGGAACATACATCATGCAGGCCCATTATGCCAGCATAAATCCATGGTAACCTGTTCAGAGGGCTGCAACCAGCAAACAAAGTGTCTGGGCCTTAATAGGTGATATTTTTGAAACATATAATTGGGATCTGAGAAGTAATTCTGGATGACAGGCCACTCCTTCTGCCATCTTAACAGAAGCTGGGCCTACAGCAAAATACCACTCCTGTCGTACCGCAGAACGACGACGATTGCCATTCTAGCTCAGCTCCAGGCAGCTGTGCACGGGGCCGACTGTGCCAAGAGACTGTCTGTGGAGGGAAAAGAGCCTTCAGCGTTGAGGTCTTTCCTTTATGCCTTGGTGCTCACCGCTGGCAAAAACCTGCTCCTGGGGCCGTCACTGGAGAATGTCAGAGGCGCTCTCCTTCGCCTACTAATACGAGCTTGAGAGGGACCTACAGCTCGCTTGTGGTGTTGGCTAGTGGACACATAGGCCTCTGAGTAGAGACCGCTGGCTGTTCTCATGAAGAGAAGCTCTTCATTTCCGTGGTGGGCTGCAGGGGAAGAGTGAGGTATCAGTCAGGTCCTGGGCAGAGCACACAGGGTCCGGATATCACAGCCTGGGTCCTTCCCCACAGGAAAGGTGGACGTGCGGCTCCACAGATAGGTGGCGGGAGAGATTGGCACAGCCCTGGTTACAGTCGACGCCATTTCCTAAGTTCCAGAGACCCGGCAGGGGGAAGCGTTTAGTTCAGGTTGTCATAAAGCCAGTCTTCTTTCGGAGCGGTGTGCGTTTTCCCCTCGACACGCAGCCTGTGTCCCCGCACTCTCCTTGTGCAGACCGCTCGCAAGACTGACGCCCCTGCACTTAGGCACCAGCCACTTTCCACTTCCCCCCCTGCACTGTGTTCTCCTCGAGGACAGGTGTCATGCCTTATCTGGGCTTCGCAGAGTGCTGGCTTCCTGGTAAATGCAGAAGGAATGAAGAAAGGAAGATGCTCATTCGTTGTTGACTTTTCTTTTATCTTCTTGATTTCTAAGAAACCACAACTCTGGCCTTTGAGTATGACTTGCCAATTAAATTAAAACTGGGTGGCAATATTGTATTATTTCGTTTTCATTTCTGCCAGCCAACCCAGCCAGTATTAGCACAGCCTGGTCTGCGTGCTAGAGGATCTGCATTCTGTCTTGCCACAGAATTAATTTCCTTAAAGCAAACTAGAAGATGTCCTCAGGGGATCGAGGACCTTCGAAACTGTAAAGACCGAGGGGAAGACGGTTAGGAATATGAGCAGTAGCAGTCAGTGTTTAGAAAAGTTGCCTGAGAGCCTGGCATACCATGGTGACCATCAGAGACATGGGCTCATCACACCCTACAATGGCCCAGCCACCATTCTGCTGGTTACGCTGTTTGCTCATGCTTCTACTCAACAGTGTGGTTGGTGATGACACAGCAGTTTGCCAACATAGAAAGTTTCACGCAAATACAGACTCGGGTGCCCTGTCTCCAGACACTGTAGGTTAGGAGACCTTTCGTGGGGCCTGGGCATTTGTACTTTTGAAATGTTCTCCACGCGGTTTGGATGCAATCAGACCGTGGA